ACTTCACAGTATTAAAGGCTGGCTAAAGGCACTGAACTAGACCTTATATAAGTCCTTAAACAGATATGATGAATGATGCCGGGCAGACCTGTCAAAGAACCACATTAGGTCAAAACTCTTTCAGGTCATCTTTCCCCCCAAAGGGTAAGTTTTGGTCACTGTATATTAAATAAAATCTTTTTAGTGCTTTGTTGATATTTTTCTGCCTTCACAAATACCACATATGGACAGTTATGTTCAGTTTGATTTATTTATACCCATAGACACAAATATCATATTTCAGAAATATTTGCTTAGCTACAAATTTTATTTCCCAACCCTGCTAATACACAAATGAAAAAGTACAATTACCCAGGAATGAACAATAGAAATAGACCATTTCTAACCATGTTCACGGTTACCACTCTGGTTGGAGCCCCCATCATCCATTCTTTAGATGGTGATACTTCCTGCAGTCTGCTCTCTGCCCAGCAGCCACAATAATCCTTTTAGGTTAGATTCTGTTTCTGCTCTGTTCCAAACCCTGCAAAGGTTCTCCACTTCTCTGCCAATCTCTTAACCCTCTGACTTCATGTTACTGTCTCCCTCTATCACCTTGCTCTGATAACACTAGTCTTCTCGCAGTTCTTAGAATATACCAGCCACATCTTTGCCTTAGTTTCTTTGCTCAAGCAGCTCCCTCTGCCTGCAATTCTCTTCTCCCAGCCTATCTGCTTGGTTAACTCTTCCTGCCAAGTCCCAAATGAAATTGGTTGAGACCATTGTCTGTTTCTGTTATTGTCTGCCAACTTCCTCTCTGTCAAGTTTTCCCTTGTACCAAATGGCTGCATGCATTTTTTTTTAAAGATTTTATTTATTTATTTGACAGACAGAGATCACAAGTAGGCCGAGAGGCAGGCAGAGAGAGAGGGAAGCAGGCTCCCCGCTGAGCAGAAAGCCCGATGCGGGGCTTGATCCCAGGACCCCGGGACCATGACCCTAGCCAAAGGCAAAGGCTTTAACCCACTGAGCCACCCAGGTGCCCTGGCTGCACGCATTTTTGAGGTCTGGCGGGGGGAATACTGAGTTGGGATACATTTAGTTTGGGTATAGCAGAATGTAATTAATGTTTTGCAGTCAATTCCCTGTATATATAGTAGTGCCAGCTGTTCTGATGTGGAAAGAGCTTCCAGGAAGATGGCTACTACCTGCTGGCTATAGAGTGTGTTGCTTTCTGTCTATGGACTAGTGTGCTTGGCTTCAAAAGTGTGTAGGTGGTGGAGGAAAAACATGGTGTGAAAATAATACAGCCAGCTATTTGTAGGAAGTTCTTCCACGTTTTATAGCTCATATTTTAAAGAAACCTGATCAAGTTTTCCCCAAATTTGACATCAGTCCTAAATATTTTTATAAAATGATCAACAGAGTCATGAAGCTGAGAGAGATTTTTCTTTTTTAAACATTTTTTAAAAGATTTTATTTATTTATTTGAGCTCAATCCCATGACAACAAGATCACAGCCTGAGCCAGAACCAGGAGTTGGTGCTTAACTGATGGAGTTACCCATGTGCCCTCTTTTTTTAAAACAGTTTTTTAAACAATTTTATTTATTTACTTGAGAGAGAGAAAGGAGGGGGGGTGAGAGGGAGAGGGAGAGAGAATCCAAAGCAGACTCTGCGTTGAGCACAGAGCCTGACAGAGATTTTTCTCATCAATAATAAAAAAAATTTTGATTAACCATGCCAGATTAACAGTGCTAAAGAATTATTCCTATTCTCCTTATAGAAAATGTTACCAAATTACCACATGAAAAGATGATCAAAAACAATTCAGAGAAAACATGTGTTGGATAGGTAATGGAAATATTTTGTAATATTTTTACTATGTGTGAGCTTTTTAATGTGTGTAAATTGTGATTTCTTTTCTCATTTTAAATGAATATTTTGTATCTAGTTTTACATTTGTAATTTTGCATTCCTTTTATTAAAGAAGGCCCACCAAATTCTATTGAAGGTCTACCAAGTTTATATAATTTGGTGGTCCTTCTGTAACAAAAAGAATGAACAGTTAGCATTTAGAAGACCTAGATGTACCCTGACTATGCTATATGATTTACTTAACTTGTTCCTCAAAAGCAGGAATCTTAGCTCACTGGTGTTTCTTACCTGAGCAGTGCTTGGCATGGTAGGCACTCAGTAAATATTTGTTGAATGAATGAGTCAATCAACAACATTACAATAAAACATTGGTGTTAATCTTATTTAATTCTGCTTTTAAAAAGTCAATATTGACATGAAGGAAAATAAAAAGACTGTAGTTCATGGAAAACATTCCTTAAAACTTTTTACTTGTTATAACTAATCATAGAAGTAAATTCTTATTCATAGGTATTTTTTTTTTTCACTAGTCATTAGCTACCATGTTTTCAAGAGGATCTCGATGACTATTTTTTTTTTTTTTTCGATGACTATTTTTAAAGGTTCTATTATCTTACTCTTTGGGACCCAAGACTAGCCTCAGTTAGCTTTTTCCATCATTCCACTCCAAGGATTAGAATTTAATTTTAGAGTTGTAGGGAGGTGAGGCCATGCAGAGAGCCACTGGGAAGCCAATACTGCAGTCAGTTTTTCTTAAGCCAAGAATCAGGCAGCAGGAAAATAAAAGACTATTTTTTAATTTTTCAATATTTAGTCAATCACAGAAACTCTGTTTAGAGAGTGCTCTTTGTTTAGACATTGGACGGTAGAAGTAAAAATACTTCTCATGCAAAGGAAGAAAAAAATAAATATAATACTTGGATTTTAGAAAAATGAACATAGTAATGAAGACCCTAAAAATGAGAGGTGAGCCTTAAGAAAAGCAGAATCTCATAGGATTTCAGTTTGGGGAATTTTTATTTTTGTAAAAATACAGAAACAATACATTATATAAATGACTGATGGACGGCAGCCTTCTTTCACTTAAACACCTATGCTTTTACTTAAACTCTAAAACATATATACATGTATTTAAATGCCTTTATAGGGATTCTGGAGACCAGAGCCAGCCTTGTTTATTTGTTTGTTTGTTTTGGAGAACACTTCTGGATATAGAAGGGCAGACAGACTTCTTACTGGTAGTGAAGGAAGCAGAGAGCTAATGAAGGTCTTAGGGATTGGCCAACTTCTTTTTGCTTTCTCAGTTTGGCAGTAGTACTCACACTGCTCTTTTCTAGAACATAATTTTCTGCACTGTCATTCCACATCTAGCAAGTTTTGACGAAGGAATATTAGTAAGTTCCAAACTGTGCTTTTGTCAATGCTAACTTTGCAGAATGTGCGACGTCCAGAGTTGTGACCATCCCTGCCAAATGTCATAGTTGTTTAAGAGCTCTGTTCCAGGTGAGGGCTCTGAAGAGATTGTTGGGAGAATAAGATTTTCCACCCAAATTATTTCCCGTGGGTTTGCAGGCAACCCTAGGTTGGATTTACAAAATTCCTTGCAAAAGTAGAGAGATTTCTTGCTCAGAATTGTGTATGTACTCAGAAAAGAAGTTTTAAAAAAATCTTGATTAACAAAAGATGCTATAGGGTAAAGTATATCAAAGTACCAAGGCTGATAGCTGTATTATCTCCAGGGACTATTAGCATGATAAAAAGCACTGAGTAGAGAAATACCTACAATTCTTGAACAGTATTACTCTTTTTTTAAAAATCTATCTTTCTCTTTCTTTCCTTCCTTCCTTCCTCCTTCCCTTTCTTTTTCTCTTTCTTTCTTTCTTTCTTTCTTTCTTTCTTTCTTTCTTTCTTTCTTTCTTTCTTTCTTTC